TCTGACTATGCTGGTTTTCCCACCATTCACTTTGCTCGTACTCAATCAATTCCATCTTTCCCTTCCACCCACTCCCAACCCTATTTTACTCTATATCACTCTGGGTGTGCAATTTTACATCCCAAAGTATTTTTCATCTCTAAAATAAAAATAAGGTAGTAAAGAATCTCTGTAACTCCAGTATGATATAATAAAATTCTATTCCAGGTCATGGTAACCTAAATACTCAGGTGACTGGGTGACCAGTCTTTCGGACCCTGTTTCCAGACCCTCCAATCCACTGCCTAATATTGACAGTTTCCTTAATTCTACCCCCTCATCTCCCTGTTGTAATGCTCAAAATCTGTAATCACTTTTTCCTAGTACATGAAGTTAAATTTTTTCTAAATTTCAAAATCATCTGTAATTTGGTCCGTTGCAGCACAACACCCATTTCCCAGCCACAGCATAACAAGCACGCTACAGTCAGTAGTCTCCCGCACTTTCTGCATGACTTCCTCTGTGCACGCTCTTTCTTCTTCAGTCTTCCTATTCAGCCAAATCCCTCTTCCTCGAAGCAGCTCACCAAACCACTCTGGCCTTCCACTTACCCACGGTCTTTCCAGCTTCCTCAGCACTAAATCGGCGGTGCCAGGCTCTGCGGTATACTACCTTGTACTGTCACGTGGCCGTGGTCTCTTCAGAAATGGTGGAGACTTTCAGGCAACGAAGATTTTATCTTAAAAAAAAATCTGTGTTCTCCTTCTTCATATCCCTTTATCCAACACCAAACACTTGGAAAACTGATGTGTGAACATATATACATTTCTTTTCAATGAAGGCCCACCCTTTTCTACCAACAGCAAAGTAATAGTAAGCAGGGATTTTTTTAATTCCTTTGTTTCAAGTGGTTACCTTTAAAAAATGGAAACATGTAACACTGTGACAAATGTCCCAGATAACATATTTGTATTATGTGGCATGTTCCTACTTGTGGAATTAAGTCTATAATAATCTGATTCCAAATGTTATATGAAAATTTAGTGCAATCATTACTTACAATATTAAGGTAAAAGAAAAATTTAAAATTTTATTTTTTAATTCTATTTTATTGATTATGCTATTACAGTTGTTCCAATTTTTCACCCTTTGCCCCCTCCACCCAGTAACCCTCACTTCCTCAGGCAATCCCAACACTACTGTTCATGTCCATGGGTCACGTGTGTAAGTTCTTTGGCTACTTCATTTCCTACACTGTACTTTACATCCCCATGGCTATTCTGTAACTACCTGTTTGTATTCTTAATCCCCTCACCTCTTCACCCATCCCTCACAACCCCTCCCAAATGGCAGCCATCAAAATAGTCTCCATATCCATGGTTCTGTCTCTGTTTTTGTTTGCTTAGTTTGTTTTTTAGATTCAATTGTTGATAGCTATGTAATTATTGCCATATTATTGTTCATAGTTTTGATCTTCCTCTTTTTCTTAAATAAGTCCCTTTAACATTTTATACAATAATGGTTAAGTGATGATGAACTCCTTTAGCTTTACTTTGTCTGGGAAGCACTTTATCTGCCCTATGATTCTAAATGATGTCTTTGCTGGGTAGAGTGATCTTCACTGTAGGTCCCTGCTTTTCATGACTTTACACATTTCTTGCCAATCCCTTCTAGCCTGCAAAGTTTCTTTTGAGAAAGCAGCTGATGGTCTTATGGCAACTCCCCTGTAGGTAAATAACTGCTTTTCTCTTGCTTTTAAGATTCCCTCTTTATTGTTAACCTTTGACATTTTAATTATGATGTGTCTTGGGGTGGGCCTCTTTGCATGCATCTTGTTTGAGACTCTGAGTTTCCTGGACTTGCATGTCTAGTTCCTTCACAAAATTAGGGAAGATTCCTTTTATTATTTTTTCAAGCAGATTTCTAATCTCTTGCTCTTTCTCTTCTCCTTCTGGCACTCCTACAATGTGAATGTTGGAATTCTTGAAGTTGTCTCAGAGGCTCCTTACACTATCCTGTTTTTTGGGGAATTCTTTCTTCTTCTTGTTCTGATTGGTTGTTTTTGCTTCCTGATGTTCCACATCATTTATTTGATTCTCAGCCTCATCCACTCTACTGTTGTTTCCTGTAAATTTTTCTTTATTTCAATTAGTGTATCCTTTGTTTCTGACTGGATCTTTTTTATGCTTAGAAAGGAATTTTTTGAGGTTCCTCTCTAAGTTCCTTGAGCATCTTTATAACCTGTGTTTTGAGCTCTGCATCTGATAGATTGCTTATCTCCATTTCATTTAGCTTTTTTTTTTTTTTTTCTGGAGTTTTGACCTGTTTTTTCATTTGGGCCATGTTTCTCTGTCTCCTTATTTTGGCGGCCTCCATGTGTTTGTTTCTCTGTATTAGGTAGAGCTGCTTTGACTCTGTGTCTTAGCAGTGTGGTCTAATGTAGTCGGTGTCCAGTAGGTCCAGTGGCACAGCCTCTACTCAAGGTGCGCCCTTTGTGTGGACTGAGTACACCTTCCTCTTGTAGTTGAGACTTGATTGCTGTTAGCATGTCCATGGGCAGAATTTACCCAGGGCAGTCAGCTGCAAGGCCTAGACCACCAACCTCCTTGGAGGATCAGCTGTACAGAGGCAGTGTGGTGGTGCTCTCATGGGGTCTGTAGCTTTCCACTGGGTGTGTACTCTCTGGGGGGGGGGGGTTCCCTGGTGGTATAGGCCAAGGTCAGCCCCCACTTGTGTTCACCCAGGGCCACCATGCATGAGCTCCAAAGCAATCTGAGATGGCTAGTACTTGTGCAGGGCTTGGAGATTCCCAGGTGAAGGCAAGCTGTGAATCTAGGCTGGCTGCTGCTAGTCCCAGGCCTGGGTCCCCCTAGCAAGAGGTACGGTGGAGGGGAGGGGCCTGGTTGCTTGTTTGATAGGATTTAGAAAGTGGTGAAGCATGAGCCAAGACCTGCCATTCATATGGAAAAGTCACAGTTAACAGCTTGGGTGGGCCTGTGTGGGTAGGATGGAGTTTCAGGGAATTTCCAGGGCAGGGCAAACAGTGTTAGGCTGATGGACTCTCAGATATGGCATCTGCCTGCTGGCTCTGTGGGGAGAGGGCTCAGAAAAGGGACAGTGTTCTCTGCCCTCCTTTTCGTCTGGAAGCTGTCCCCCAGCTTTTACCTTGGTGCCAAACAATCCAGGTCCTCCCTGTATGCCACTGGTGCCCTTCAAGCTACTACTGTGGTCCTGAAGCTCAGAGGGAGTGAGTCTGAGTAAGTCCACGAGTGCATTTTTTAAGGGGAGTTGCTTGGGACTCCAGCAGTTTCTCCACCAACTCAATCCCTGCTGGTTTTTGCAGCCAGAAGTTTGGGTACTTACCTTCCTGGCACTGGAGTCTTGGGCTGAGGAGCCTGGTCTGGGGCTGGAACTCCTCACTGCTGAGATATCCCTCCTGAAGTTTTATCCACCACACGTGGGTGTGGGACCAGCCTGTTCTGCATCTTCACCCCTTCTACCAGTCTGGATGGATGTGGTTTTTTTACTTCTGTAGTTGTCAGACTTCCACTCAACTCAATTTGAGTGATGGTTGTTCCATATTTTAGTTGTAATTTTTAAGTGGCTGTGAGAGGAGGTGAGCTGTTCATCTATGCTGCCATCCTGATTCGAAGTAAAACTTACAGTTTAAACAGTGTACTAGTATTAGTCTTTGTGAGTTTCGTAGTCTTCAGTTATTACCACACTCCTGATTATTACACAACTGTTACCTCACGGCTATCCTGAACTTCACTTCATCCCCAGCCTTACAGTTGCATAAGATGGTTCCATTACTTCATTAAGCAAATTAAGGTGAAACTAAGATATGGCCTGATGTTCTCTAGGAAGATGTTCTCAAGACAGAGGAAAAATGAAGATATTAGCTTTAGCCCATCCAAAGTATTGAATCTGTGATATGAAATAAACCCACACCTCAGGAAGTGCTCTCCTGAGAACCTGATGAATTCATCCCTCTATCCTGTGGAAGTGGGTGATAAACCTGGTAGACAGCAAGTTTACCTGGTGAGTTCTTCAACTAGGCAACTATGTGTCTTGCTGGAAAACTTACTGAGTACTTGACAAAGGATTATATCAAGCTGCACTAACCTTCTGGTTAGTACCTTTTAAAGATCTCCATGGTTCTGGAAAGCCTGATGTGCAGTACACAAGAGAGCGATGGCTACCAATACCATGTCCTGTAGCAAAAGCCTATGTATGGAAATAGCAAGTACGTGATGCCAGAGTACAAGCAAAGCATATGTGAGTCTTGATAAAGACAGAACACCAACAGAATCGTAGTTGAAATCATGGACCTTGAAAACAGGAAAGAGTCCTTGGAATCTTCCTTTGGGTAACCTTAAGGCATTTGAACACTTACTAAACATACATCATGTATCAGGAACTGTGCTAAGCTCCTTACTGGTGATGCTTCATTATCTTCACAACCCGGAAAGAGGCACTTTTAAATGTCACTCTGCAAATCAAAGTGAGGTTAGGGAGGCTGCAGAAAGTACCTGCGGTCTGGGAAGTGGTAGAACCAGGAGTCAAATTTAGAACTCCCAGACTCAAAAAATGTTTCTCAAGTCACGGTACATACCTTAATTGCACTGATAGTATACTTAAATTTTGTTTTTGCTCATTGTTCACTGTAGGTATTTTAAAATGTGGCAACTGACTATATCCCTAAGTCAAGTTTCTAACTGATAGCTACTCACAGTCATCTCTTAAAAATAATTATTGGGACTGAACCCTGAATAATTTTAATTTGTGCATTTTACTAATTTGTTATGTGACCTACAAGAAACCATAAGCTATGAAGGGTAAGATATGTTTATTTGCCTTCTAAGTTCCTCAGATAGTAATTTTGTAATCGTAGGTAACCCAAAAGTGGAGTCAAATGAGTAGGATGGTCATGTATTTCATTCCCAATTCGCTCTTGACATTCTGAATACGAAATATATTCTGGAATAAACATTCTATGGTTCTATTAAGCTCTCAATATTGTTGTTTAAATGCTTTAGAAAGATTATAAAAAAATACAAATTTCATTCAAAGCTATGTACTTTTAATTTTCAAGGAAATTTTTCTTGCATTTATATTAAAGTAGATTAATGACAGGCCTGCAAACAGTAAAATTAATTTTGCAAAGGTGAGAGGCATCTGCTGTCTGTATCAATCTTAGGGAAAAAATTGCTGTTACTGCTTCTGGTAGATCATACAGAAGTAATTTAAGGACATCCTGTCGAGTCCCTGTGCAGTGACATTGCCATCTAGTGGTCATTTCTGCTGCAGGTGATGCTCCACCCTCCTGGGCAATGCTGAAGGGGCTTGAATACAACCAGGTTCTACCTTTAGCACCCATCTTCACTTATCAATAGATTAGTCCTCAAGTGAGAAACCATGTCTTATTTTCTTTCTTTCCTACACTATCAGTTAATGTTGAAGTGAGACATATTTTGGACCCACTCTAAGAATATTAGAACTTTTTTTCACTCCTCCCTCCCCTTTACTCCCCACTCTCCCAGCCCCAACTCTCCTACTACCCAGGCCTGCATACAAACTGGCAACTGTGAAGACCATGCTGGGACTACGTCAAGTTTCTGTGCCTATGACTACATTACCAATTTAAACAGCAGAAAACATTATGCATTATTGTCTAAAACCCTTACTACAGAAAGACAGCAGTGTATTTTCTCAGTGGCTAAATAAATTGCAATCAAGTTGTTAAGCAGAATTTCGGAAAAATAAACATCATTAAAATTATCATTCACCCATCTACACTTTACTGGAAGTATATAACGTGCTCTCTGTATATTGCCTCGTGTGGTTCTCAAAGCAACCCTATAGTAGTTGTAAATCCAATTTTAATAGTAAGAAAAAGTGATGTGGTGAAGGGTAAAAAAAGAGAAAAATATGATTTGCCCAAGGTAATTTCCACTAGTAAGTAGAAAGCTGGGATTTGAAGCCAAGCCATCTACCTATTTTTGGTAGATAACAACAAACCCAAACAATGACATTTACACTTTTTAAAATACCCAAATGTTTGTAATAAAAATTGCTCTGTAAAATAGATTTTAGCTGATGTACCAGTGGTCACAACTATTTGGAAAACTGGACTGCTTTATGCTTTAGTAAAGTTACTACAATTATCCTCTAGAAAACGTATTGAATGAGTCAAATTTACAGATGAAATAAAGTTTATCTGTTTGTTACCTTTCTGCCTTAGTCCAAAAGACTAAAGGTAGCTTGAAATCATAGTAACTTTCTGAAAAATATTCTGCATCTTTATTTTATTGTAATTTTTCCATTAGCATTTAACTATCTTATCATCTCCCTCCCACCCCCCAAAATCACCACATTGTTGCCCAGGAGCCCTTTGTCCTTGATCCCTCCACCCCTCGACCCCCATCCCCAGAGCCGACAGACAGCCTACTCTGAGTCGGTCTCTACTTTGTTAGTTCAGTAGAGTCCACATGAGTGAGAACATACAGTATTTGTCTTTCTCTGACCGGCTTATTTTCCCTTAGCATAGTATTCTCCAGGTCCATTATAGTGTTGTAAAGGGTCCAATTTTCTTTTTTATGGCCAGATAGTATTCCATTTTGTAAATGTCTCTAAATACATTACTCTCCCCAAAAGCTAGCTGCTTCCAAGCTTGACTTGATATTTTGCATGTTTTCTCTCCGTTGCTTGGTAAATATATTTGCTTCTCCTTTCTGCAATCGACGTCTGACAGCTGATTTTTGCTGTTTTGTCAACTGACGTTTCACCTTCTGTTTCACCAATTCCTGGAAAGATTTCAATGATTAGTATCACTGATGACTGCTCATTTTTATAAGGAGTAAATATTCAACCAAATATTGACACTGCCAATATTTTTCAAATTTGTTAATAACATATTTTTAAAACTCCAAATTCTAAAAGCAGTACTATACAAATCAGCAGTAAAACACAAAACTGTTATAAATTACATTTCTAAAATAAATATAGAATATGACAAAAATATAGTTAAAATTCTTTGAGTAACGAATAGACATAGTGCCACCTAGTGTCCACTGGGAAAACTTAAAGAACCAACCCCTCCTACCCCCTGAAAACCAACATAATCAAAACCAAAGCGAAAAACTGCTTGTTCCTGGCTTTAGGTGATAATAGGCATGTCTTCGTACAAGACTGGAAGCATTCATTACTGGTACACGGATCCTTCAGAACTGCAGGTGTACAAACAGCCTGACAGCCGCAGTTACCCACGGCAAAGTCTTCATACCAATTTTGGGAGATAATGCTTTCTTACAGGGAAGGATCATAAATTCAATGGATTTCTTATTACGTAGGATACAGGTTGCCCCTAACTGCCAAGATGAATAACATTTTTGAACATTGCATCCACAAAACCTTTTTTCCTCTCTGAAAGCACTACACCTGTTTGTTCTTTGTGTATATATAACCTTGCATTATCCAAGCTGCCCCCTAAAGCAAGGAAGATGAACACTTTATGGGTTGAAGCATGGGTCTCTTCTTAATATGCCTCACCCTATGCAAGACACAGAGATGCATTTAGGGGTATCTCCCCAAATTAGGAAGGTTGGTGACTTAGAAGGACCTGGTATCCCAGACTTGAAAGAACAGTTGGCTGAAAGTTTAAAGTAAGTGTGATTCGCCTCCAGGACCTTCCCTACCCCAGGAAGCCAGGCAGCTCCAGTCTCCCCACTCTAGCAGGGGACCAGAATCCTGGAGATGCCATCTTCTCAACTACAACAAAGACAACAGACCAATACCTTCAGAATTCTAACAGAAAATTATTTGCAAACCACAACTCTAGTACTTGAACTCTCTATTAATAGAGAATAAAAATACATTTTTAGTAATAAAAACTCTGCAAAATTCACTCAAATCACTACTGGAATCTCTACTGCCAATAAAGTAGTAAAGTAGGTAAGAAAGGAAAGGAACCAGGAAAGAAGGCACCCAGCAGAGATGAGATGGAAAGTCCCAGGAAAACAACAGTCAAGCATACACCATGATTTATTTTTTAATCTACACCCAAGGACACTTTTTTTTCATTGCTTTTAGAGTGGGATGGAGGGAGAGAGAAAAACATCAATGTGAGAGAGAAGCATCCCTTGGTTGCCTCCTGTATGCACCTGGACTGGGGATCGAACCTGCAACCTAGACATATGCCCTCACTGGGAATGAAACCCAAAACATTTGAGTCACGGGACGATGCTCCAACTGAGCCACACCAGCCAGGACCATACACCACATTTAAAAGAGGAATTCGAAGAGGCCTCCAGAATATTTCCAGGAAAAAAAATCAATTTCTTTCCCAAATAATCTTCTTCAATTTCCCCTTGGTTCATCCCCTCAGTGAGACCTTAAGATAATCATATCAAGCAGCTGAAGAAGGAGAGAATAGATTGTCATGCATGTATATCTTCCTAATTCAGAACAATTTCCAAATCCTACAAGGTTTATTTTCTTCATGTTAACAAAAGTGTGAGAAAAATCCCATTTGGTATATTTTAAATGATTATAAAGTGTGAAATAAAATACCGCTGTATTATTTCAGGGAGCCTATAAAAAATAGCAATGAAGATCCTGTATTCGGTTGTGGTTTGCTGTTGATAGTGACTGCATACTTATTAAAAATATATTTTAACCTTTCATTATAATTTAACTGTTACATATTAGAAAGCACAGGGCACATAAATGGCAATTCTGCTAATAAAAAACCAAAAAACTATTTTAAGTAGGAAAACAGGACTTACAATAATATCAGAGAAGATAGAGAAAATCTTTACCTTGCACAATCGTCAACATAAAAGAGGTAACAAAATAAAGTTTTTCTCCTGACCCTTTTAACAAAATAAAATGTGATCTCAAGAAAAATTGTTTGAGAGCACCTCTGTAAGAATGTACAGTTGATTGGTTTCGGAGATCAGAAAGAAACCAAGCTAGGCTAAAGACATCTCTTTTTGTCCTTGGGAGGCAAACTTATATTTTATAATACAATTCATTAGCGGCTGTTGGCGATAAGGAAAATGGGATAAAGTCAAGACCTCATGACAATGTCAGTGCCATATTCTTTATATACAGAAGAGAGTGTAAGTTAGAATCTAAGAAAAGTAGCATGAATTAGCAATCTAACTTTTCTTTGTATGACATTATCAATTTTACACCATTGCAATCAGATATAAAAGCCCTATGCTTTGAATCTGAGAAATCAAAGAAAGGAGGGTAAATTTCACTAAGTATAAAAAATATCAAAGCCAAAAATAGACAGGAAACTATAAAGTGTGAGAAATCAATCTCCTCACTATTGAAGTGCAGGGATTAGACCGCGTGAGAGTCAGAGCCCCCGCGATCTTATCCTTCTAATTCAAGCTAACTTACATGCTGCCCTTTCCCTGAAAGCTTTGATCATTCCTAAAAGTAACCCTCTCTCCTATATTACTAAATTTGTACTCGTTATTATAATTTTATACTGTTAATATGCAAGGTCCCAATGGCTGTGACTGTCTTGTACATCAAACCCTCCTCCCATGTCAGACGCCTGCAGGATGACCTAAGGAACACTTGCAAACGCTGAATGAATGGTTACCGGAGGAATTGTTGAACAGCTCAAAATACTGCCCGCAGAAGTAACACTGAGAGTTCTTGTTCTGTATCGGTTAATATCTTCCATGTTTTCTTCATCTCTAAAATTAAAGCAAAATCACAATATATCCAGTTAATTTTTACAGTTAATTGTTGAGACCATTTATATTATTCCTTACTTGATAATGAAACTTAAAGACATAAAATTTATCTCAGAAATATATTTAAAATTTCTGTGAAGGTAAAACCATCCACAATTCAGCCTAATATATTAACAATTTTCATTTTCCAGCATTCTGATAGTCACTATCAAAATCTGAAAATAGTAAAATGTTTTAGCCATTGAAACTTGTTATTGCTTGTCCATAATTCATGTCTCTTTCCCTCTCCTTTTACTGAACTCTCTGACTTTTAACATTTCAATCCTTTGGGACAGTTTCCTGCCATTCTCCCAAACAAAAGCAGGTGCAGAAACAGTACCCTGGCAGGCTGCTGCAATGCAGAAAAGCTGCAGTGACAGAAACTCTCTCATCTGTAGTGTGCCTTGCTCAAAGTTTTAATGTGTAAGAAACTCAGATGATATGAATTCTTAACAGCTGCTATTTTTCAGAAATATTTCTACTTTGATAAAAATTTGCCCAACATGTGTTTGGAGTAAAAACAAATTATTCTCCGCTCAGATGGCTATTTAATCTATATAGATTTTCTTCTGTTACCCAAAATATTGAGTCATTGCCACTCAATTTTAATTTTACATTTATCATTAAAGTGGTAATAACCCTGTGTTTCAAGACAGTTATATGGAAAAGGAACAAAATTCTCATGTTTTGCTTCACAGTGAAACTCATGATAAAGAGAGCCTTAGGATGTAAGCCTGAAAATGTAGCGAGAAATGCCTAATAAATGTTACTTGCCCTGGTGGGTATAGCTCAGTAGACTGAGCACAGGCCTGCAAACCAAAGGGTTGCTAGTGTGATTCCCAGTCAAGGCACATGCCTGAGTTACAGACCAGGTCCCCAGTAGGGGTCTGTGAGAGGCAACCACACATTTATGTTTCTTTCTCTCCCTCTCTTTCTCCTTCCCTTCCCCACTCTCTAGAAATAAATAAATACATGTTTGTAAAAGTTACTGATTTAATTTTGTTCTATTACTATTTTGAAACAAATAAACCTATATTTCATTAAACTACAGTTGTTTGATTCTAGACAAACAGTCCAAATCTAAAAATTAAATTTTAGATAATTTGCTAATCTGAGCTTAGGCTGGTTAATATTTGCAAGAAATAAAATTCTTAAAACACAAATAACATTATAGAATTTTTACATGAATAAATAAGAACAGAAGGTTCAAAGTACCAGACAAAATTCACTGACCCTAATGAAGATAGTACATTTACTGCAGATTTATTGGACTACATATAAACCAAACATTAGATACGTATTTATGGACATATACAAAGAATTCATCCATCTAAATCATAATCAACTGAATAAGAGATCTGTATTAATTTTTTGAAAGTAATCAGTTTGTATCTTATAGCAGACTGCTTAAAACTGAATCGCTATGCTGTCTAGAATCAGGTCGACTATAAAGGCTAGCTGTAATTTTAACAAAAGGGTTGTTTGTTTTCATTTTACACATAATGGTATAGAATACAACTCTGTCACTTCATTTAAAAAATTCTCATTTACAAGAATTGAAGAAAGTGCAGGTCTCCAGATTAAAGCAAAAAAAAAAAAAAAATCAACCAGCAGAATCTGTACCTGAAAGGCCTGAATTCTTTGTTTAATGACGACAAAGGAAAGAGACGAGGGCATTCATCTTCACACTCGTCAGAGCCTGCGGCGTTTTCTCCTCGACCCGCTTCACCATCGTGCCTGGTGTCATTTCCAGTTTTGTTCTCCTCCCCAGAAAACTCAGGTACAGAATGGTTTTCAACGACCTGACCTCTTATTTCTTCTAAAGCCCGACTGAATTTAGTCATGTCCAAACAGTGCGCAGCAGCACTCTGCCCCGACGAATCGCCTTCCTTCACTTGTTCAGGGTCGCCAGGTGATCTGTGACGGCACCCGACCAACTCGTCTACAGAGTTTTGTTCACGTGGATTTTCCGAGCTACAGACTTCTGCTTTTTCTGACACCTCTTCATCAGAGAAGAAGTCCGACCCCTCCTCTGTGTCAGTATCATCTGGACCTGCTGGATGAAGCAGTTCGTCCTCTGCCTGCATTTCCTTTGTGTAGCCACTGGCAGAAACCTCTACATCAAGAGAGTCCTCCCGTCTGGGAAAAGAAATGCCGAGCATTTAGCGGGGAAAAACCCATCTGACACGGACAAATATTTATTACTCTGGAAAATTATAATTCTTAAGTGAGTTTAATAGTTTATATCTTTGAAAGATTTTCCTTTGCCTAAAATGCAATATTTAAATTGCTTAAGTACACAAATGTAAAAGATAAATGCTGTTTGTCATTTTAACAAAATAAATGTGAAAAGCAATAGATATTAAATAGAAAGGTTACAAAAACTTCAGTTGGTATTTACTGACTTAGTAATTTTTAGAGGGGACTAAAGATTTCTTTGAACTCATGTCAGTCATCTCAAGCCAGAAAACAATATGTGAACTAATTTTAGAAAACAAATGAGAAATTTGGCTTTGAGAATGTACATATAATTGGGGTCCATGATCAGGTAAAGATAGCTTCTAGTCTGAATAAAGGAAAACCACAAATTCTGATAAACACTTGGCTTGTTCCTTACAAATGGACTATTCACTTAGCATTCTACATTGAATAAAAGTTCCCGAATTCTAAGAAACTGGTGTATACCTCCCCCAAATTCAGTACCATAATTTTAGTGGATCAAAAGAAGGTATTTTCTAGATTGGTAAGTTTCATTTTTTTATAACACCCAGCTATAACACTCAATAATTACAATGTGTCAAAGGTCACTCATTATCCGAAAGTTTTTTAGATAAAAATATGTTACCTTTTAGAACTAAATAAATCAGGTATTTATCAGAGTTCTATCACTTTAAGCAGAGTACAAACCTGATATCACTAAATGTTGGGTAAAGCTCACTTTCATAGCTGAAACGTTTCATAAAGAAATCTCTAATGCATTTAACATCTCTGTCAAAATACCTGCAAAAGAAAGAATTGTTTCTGATACAGCCTTTGTTGTTTATTTTTTCCTTATGAACCAATGACAATATCCTTAATATATGACAGTTCTACTTTTTACACAAAAAAGATGTTTGAAATAATGAACGTAACAACAGGGGTACAAACAAGGAATATAAGCTATCAAAGGCACATAGTTCCTATGGTCAGAAAACTCTAGGTTTTCCCTTAGTGCAGCAGACATACTAAGAGAAAATAAGGTAAATACGAATCTAGAAAAGAAGACTATGGGCCTCTAATGTGGGGGCAGAGGGTTCCACTTTCCTCTACAGACTCCAGTATGTCTGGTTGTATTTCCCATCAGCTACGCCCAGCTGAACCCCTTGTCAACTGAGAGAGCTGAAGATTAAAATAGATTAGTAACTCAGGAAAAAGTCTGAGAATTAGAATTATGTTTACATATCCTTATCTGTTAGCCGACTTGTAATAACTTCCTAAAGAGACAGACAATGCTGTGGGCTTATAAATAACAATCTGAAAACACGTGAATCTGGACTGACAGCAGAACTTCTGGATGTGTGGTTATTTTTAGGTCAACATAAAGCAGTAAGAGCCCTTTAAATTCTCTAGAGGGTTTCCAAATAAGGTAGAATTAAGGGTCACATGGAATTGATTAACTCTTTACATTTAACTAAATTGTTATTTTAGAGAATCATCAAGTTTAGAATTAGGAAGACAATGCCACTATTCTGTGTTTTTAGGGCACCCTTGGAACAACCTCAAATTATTTTAAAGTTATGTTTTTATACATGCTATGTCTCCCCTACTAGACAGTAACTTCTTCAAAGGCAGAGATATGTCTTATTGATATCTTAATTTCTAGCGTTTAATAGAACTCCTTCACCCAATTACTTCCCCATATAAAAGTCCAAGTTAAATCACAGTATCTTCAAGAATAACGCACATTATATTTAATTTGAGTGTCATATCCTGTTATCATTTCTGTCTCTAATTCTGGTGGTTCCTAGATGTTCCTTTATTGTGTGACTATGTTACATCACTTTAATGAAAATGGTAATCAGTCATCACCATAAGAAATATTGACCACCCAAGTGCCAGGCATTTATCTATTAGTATTGTTTTGTTGGAAATATTCTTTAAAAGTACTCACCCTAAATTTGATTATGCTCAATTGCATCGTGGAATACAAATAAAGGAAAATATTCTCTTGCATTTCACAATTTGGCCGGTTTAACTAGTTAAGCAGTGTGAGAAACAGATTATCATAGTATATAAAGTGGTTCTGCCCTGTGTCAGGGATGAGGTTTTATGGGAATTCTTTTTTAACATAAAAGCTAAAAATGACATGAGAGATATTACTGGTCTGGCAACTTAATCTAGTCCAAATCCTTAACTTTTGTTAAGACAATCAAGATGATCAAATTATGCCTGGTGAAGCCCCTCGAAGCCAAGCAAGGAGAAAAAACGGGGGATAGGCAGAGAGAACAGGGATCTAGGGTTCCCCCTCCATGTCCTTACTTCCGAACAAGCTTTTTTTAGTTTAAAAATTGGGCTTCCACCTAAATGTTTGTTTGAATAAAGGATTCCATGGCTAAGACAATTTGACTTACAGAAATGTGCCAGATTATAAAAGTAATTCAAATGGTTTTGATGGCTTACAAAAGTGGGCAGGATCTTCAGATTCCCAACACACAGAATAAGCTTAACAAACATGTTTTAAAAACTAGATCAAAGTGCACCCCCCCTTTAAAATACTGAGAAATAAGAAAGATTCTTTCAGGGTGAAATTAGTAGTTTGATAGCATTAATACACACACACACACACACACACACACACACACACACACACACACTTTTAGACCACTGACATCAGCCACTTCAAACCAGTTACTGACACAAATGACAGTGTCACAAAGCTGAAAATTCTAAATAAAAATTGTTTCACCACACATAAACACACCCACATTCACAGTCAATTTCAGTATTTACCACTCAGCATTGGGATGAGAAGTTGAAACCATTTGTGGAAAATCAATCATGGTGATGTGGTCATCTTTATCCAAAATGAGATTGAATTCATTGAAATCTCCATGAATGAGTCCATGATTCGCAAGTTTGACAATCAGTTCCATGGCTTCATCATACACTGATGCAGGATCTTCAACATGGTGTATCTGACACCTGCAAGTATTTTACATAGGAAAATAAATTATTTGTACTCATTTATGACTTTAATGAAAGCAAGTGTGTATTTTTCCATCTTTGTCTCCCTAGCAGCTTTTCTTCATTTCCATCAGCATACAAACGTAACAGTGTTCACCATTACTGAAAAAACAAGCCACACCCTGCCTTGATTCTGTATCTTTTTTGCATTGTCAAATCCTTTCTTTTATCTTCTTTACAGTCCAATTTCTCTACGTGTTTTCTTTAAATTTTTTCCTCCACTCTAATAACCATTTCATACAGGCTTTCTTCATCCACTTTATTCAGCTCTTGTCAAGACTATCAGTGACATCTGTGTTGCTAAATGCAGTGGTCAATTCTCAGTCTTCATCATATTTGGTCTCCCAATTAACCTCTCCCCCCTCCCCCTTTGAAACACTTCTTTTACTTGACTCAACATACCAACTCTTTAGGCTGTCCTCTTTCTACACTGATCATTCCTCTCAGTCTTTTTTGCTAATTCTTTACCTTCTCCCCGACCTTTAAATTTTGGAGTTCCTCAAAGGTTAATCCTAGGGCCTCTTATTTAAAATCATTTCTGGTGATTTCAGGCTCACGGATTTAAACACCATACATATACTAATGTCAATCTAGACTTCTCTGAATTCGTACTTATCTCAAACTTACCAAGCTCCAAACTTGAACTGATTCCGCCCCCCAATTTTTATTTTACACTGTTGTTGAGTCTTTCCAGCTCATCTATAAATGTGAACTTATGCACCCCCCCATTAATCAATCATTCAGGTCCAAAAGCTGGTTGTTACTTTTGACTCACACCTTTCTTCATATGAATATCCAATCCCAAACAAAATTATGCTGGCTCTTCCAGAAAGACATATCCAGAATCTGACTGCTATCTGTCACCTTGCCGTCACTCTGATCTAAACCAGCATTGTCCTTGACTGGATCATAACAATTTCCTAAACTGTCTTCCACATTCTGTTCCTGTTTCCGTTCAGTCTATTCTCAGTATGGCAGCCAGTGATCCTACTAAAACACGCCAGGTCATGTTTCTTCTCAGTTCAGAACTCTCCAATGGCTTCTTATCTCAATCAAAATTAAAAAGGCCTTGTGCTGAATATCACTACAATGGTAATCACATTACAATATATAAAAGTTTCAAACCAACATGTTGTATACATTAATTTATACAATATCACGTGTGGAATATACTTCAGTAAGAAAAAACCTTTAAAGGCCCTGCAGTGATCTACAATCCCTACGTGGTCTGCTCCCCTGCCGTCACTCCCATCTTATCATTTACACTTTCTCCCCTGCTCATTCAGCTCCCGCCGCACTGAGTCCTCACTGTTCCCCGAACACGTAGGTAATGCTCCCGGACCACAGCGTATGCGCTTGCTGTTTCCCCTGCGAGATATTCTCACACATCTGCGTGGTTTTCCCTCATTTTTTCAGCATTCCTACCAGTGAGACTTGTCCTGACTGCCCCATGTAAACAGCAGCCTCCTCTTCCTGCCTCAGCCCTGCCTGTCCCTTACCGTGCTGTACTTTATCCGTAGCATTTACCGCCATTTGATATACACAGGGTGGGGCAAAAGTGGGTTTACAGTTATAAGTTCGTGGAACACAGAGTTTGTCCTTTTATTATTTATTATTACTTTTTATCCTCACCCGAGGACATGCTTATTGATTTTAGAGAGAAGAGAAGAGGGAGAGAGAACAAACATCAACTGGTCGCCTCTCCTATGCCCCTGACCAGGGATCGAACCAGCCACCTAGGCATATGCCCTAACCAGAATCAAACCTGACCTTCTGGTTTATGGATGGCACTCCAACCAAATGAAACACGCCAGCCAGGGCAGAGTTTATTCTCGTATTATTATTTATTAATTATTTTACATACAGTGAATTGTAAACCTGCTTTTACTCTATCCTGTATTTTCTTATTTAGATATTTACTGCATTCTCCTCCCATCAAAACAAACTCTGTGAGGGCAGAGACCTGGTCTACTACTGAGCCTGGGACAGTGCCTGGCACACACCAGACTGTTAATAAATATTTGCTGAATGAATCATAGAGACTATGTAACACATACTGTTAAAATGAAAGTGTAATTTCAATTTGCCTAAGTTAATTTCTAACCTCCCAGAAACAATATTCCATTTAACAAAAAGAAATTTACTTTAAAAACTGAACCTTACCTTTACTATGACCCACAGGTTTAACAACAGTAAGTACTTACAGAGGATAGCCATTTATGAGTTCCATGACAACTGCATGGCGATTATAATCGATTGGCTTTGGAACTGGAAATTTCCTCTCGTACAATGCCTAAAACGCAGCAAACAGGCATAAACTAATGAAGGGGTCATTAATTTTTAAGGAACAATAAAAGTAAATATATCTGCTCACTACTAGAAGAAAACATACAAGCCTTTACAAAATTAGTCAACATATGACTACGTATATATGGCTTACTTACAGCATAAAATGAACTGTACATAAAAAAAAATTAAACCAGTTAACTCACTTTTTCACTAAACATTCATTTATTGAACATTTACTAAATACTGTACACTGTGCTAGGGTTACAAAGGTATGAAAAAGTCTGTCTTTATGATTTATCTGCCAAACTTTTGTAAATTTCTGCCATTTACTGGAGTGTGCTTAAAAAATAAAAATTGTGATTTAGAAAGTACTCTGTCTGCTGACATATTAGGAAAATGAAATATTCCAATAGATTAAGCATTTTAGTTTATACAGCACTGAGCTTTTCTTGAGACCAAATATACAATATAAAACTATTATGTAATAAACATATACACTGTAGTAGCCTGAGTCAAACGTTACTTAAAATCATCCATAGATTCATCTTTTCCCCTATCCTTAACTTTTTCTATCTTTGCTTATGAAGTCATGTTATTAATTCCTTCAGAATGTCAGATTTATGACCTCTGCCATTTGAAATACTGCCATTTCTAAGTAGGCCTTTGTCATTTAAACTCAATTAACTCTAACATTGGTTCTAGCTCTTGCCACCATACCTAACGTTTAGTCTGTGTACTAATAGCAAATGAAGATGCTTGTATCAGTGCTCAATTAGAAAAAAAATCTGTAATGGCTACTTGACTTGGGCTGTTGAACACACAATGCAGTGTACAGATGTGTTGTTGAGCTGTACCCCTGAAACCTATGACTTTGTTCAATGTCACCCTAATAAATTAAAAAAAAAATCAACAATGGCTATACTGATCTTACTCAGAACTTTTCCTAGGTTTCAAAACCCTCTTTAATCAACTTCACCAGCCCTGCGATTCCCAACAGTCCCCATAAGTGCTCAGGAGTGCAATCAGGATAGTCATCTCAGGACTACTACTACCTCGACACACAGAGCTTATCCCACGATCGTGTCTGTACCCGAAGTGGTTCCTCTGCAAAGTACACCGTTTCACAGTCTTTTCCTTACACCCAAATCATATGCATGCTTCATAAGTTTGCCTAAATCCCACTCACTTCATGAACTTCCTTCATCAACTATTCTACTCTACGTAAGTTCCTCTAAACACATATAATAGGATTTTTAATTAGTTCTTTGTTTTATCTGTGTTGTTCAAGTTATCTTCCCAGCTTAAGACACAGACTGCACTGGTTACCCTTTTGGTATCTATCCCTGCTCCCCACCCTACCCTAGTACTTACTTAATACAGTGGTAGCCACATAGCTGATGCCTGACATATATTTATTAACAGGGTTAATTTTAAAAGGCTGTGTACTCTACTTCCTACCTTCTTCGGACAGGAAATGAATGACTTCCACTCCCTCAAAACTGGCTGCCGGGCTTAAACATATTTTTAAATGCAAGTGATTCTGAGTAGGCCTCGGCAGCCCGAGAGCATATAGTAACCTTAACTACAGTCATAGTGGTCTAGCCAGTGGGCCATACCTTACTTAACCTTTAAGCTATAGCTCCATTTTATCTTATTCTCTGTCAGGAAAATATCGATGTATTTAAGAAGCATATTTAAATACAACCAAGTCTACTGCTGTACCTTCATATAAGCATCTTGAGAAAATACCTAATAGAGTTTTGGGAAAATGGTAATGATTCCTATCAAGCTGCCAACTTCCTGATCGACTATTGTGGGATATAAACCTTTAGTATAAGATAAGAAATGCGTAACATGTATGGTATCAGTATCATTTATTTATACTGTGTTAAGAATTTTCCCCTACAATCACTAAAAATTTACATACATGAATTAGCCTAAGTAAAGAAGACCAAACTGAAACTTCCAAGAAACACTAGTCATACACTGGATGAAACACTGGATGAATTCTAATAATTATTTTTTAAAAAGCCATAAAAAATAAATCCTACTAAGAATGTAATAAAAATACAGTGTTAATTTAATTTAAATATTGTTGAGGATATTTGATTAAAATATTTAGTAAATTAATGTTAAACTTAATCTCAAAGGTAAAAGTTTGAAAACTTTTTAAAGTAGACATTTTAAAAATGTCTACTTTCTAATACACATAAACATTTTTACTTGGCATTTCTTCTTTGTAAAATAAAAATATTAGTCAACTTATTGAAGATACTAAGATTTCTACAAATGGTGATTAGCTGGTGTTTTCAATTAGAGACAGACCTCTGTACAGTTTAACTACACATTCGCACATACATGTTTGTGAGAAAATCACATCACTGTATTCTAGGCTACTCTATCTTGTTAATATTGTCGACTATATATTATTGCCTTTATACACTTTAAACAATTAAAAATACCTTTGCATAGAAGGAAATAACCAGAAAAACAAATGCCAGAAAAAAAATCAAAGCAGCAAGAGTTAAAAGTGACAGTAAGGTTGGAATTGGAGAAAGGGAAATAAATGTGCAGGCAACAGACTAATGATTGTCGCTATAGCCTTTCAGCTGCAAGTATTATTTGGTTAAAAAATGAAAAATTATTTTAAACATACCTTCATATAGGCAAATTCTTTCATGGCAGAGAGACGAGATAAATAAAGCCAAGACATGTTATGCCTGTGTTTATGGTAATCACGCTTGTTCTTCAGATTTCGAAAGGAGGTTCTTCCCAATCTGTGAAGCTTTAATGCAAACTGTTGCCCTTCTCCATTTGCAACAATATAAATATCTAGAGCCAAGATTTTAAAAAGATCATCGTTACACTTTTATGCCAGTAAGTTCAAACAATTCTAACTTTGTCTTACTTTGTTTGTATCAACTGTTACCTTTCCTAATAAACACAGTTATTTTACCGTCACAATCCAAAATGGTGACATGTATGTCAGAGGTTATTGACTGCAAAGGTACTCAAAGCTCAATTCAATTTAGTGGGAAAACATCTAATTGCTCCTCAGTGTCCTATACGTTCAAGAAGTGATTTAATAATATCTTCCTTCTCAAAAACAGGACGTTCATTCCTTAAATTAATACTCAGCTGTTAGAATATAATCCTATAAGAATGTAGATCTTTCCCTAAGTATTTCAGCTATCAAAATAAGTTACTATTTGCAACACTCACAAGGCGAACATGTCCTAATTATTCATTAGGAATTTTAATTATTACTTTAATTATCGAGAAACAGCTCTTTCTTACACTGGTGAGATTATAAACTGTTATAAACATTTTGGAGAAAATTTGGTATTATCAAACTTTTAAGAGTACATAATTTTTAAGAATGTATTTACAAATTTATTTGTACAGAGGCATCTGTACCAGAGTGTTCACCACCTTATTAAAAAAACTGTAAGTAACTTAAATGTCCACTAACAATTGGAACTGGTAAAATCAGTAAAGGAACTTCCATACAATGTAACACTTAGAAAGCTTGAGAAAGACAAACACAAATTGGCTGACGCAGAATATTAGGGATGCACTGGATGTGCAGGATGGTAAGTACTGTTTGCTTTTACCTGAGATTAAAAAGATACATGACTGTATACACACATCTTTAGTACAGTACATATTTGTATTTACACAGAATATTTCTAGAAAGATTATTGGGACATCAATAAACAGTGACAGCTTGGGACAGTAGTAACAGGAGATTGAGACTTGTGTTAGGAGATTTCCTTTTTATTGTACTCATGTACATTTATCATTTTGTATACAATGAAGTTCTATATTAAAAAAAAAGCCACCAGAGGAAGCATATGTGAAAAGCTGTTTCATTATCTTACTTATATACCTCACACACACAGGCACACAGTGCTGTACACTGCCATATTTAGCACTCTTGTGTTACTTATTAAATGTATACCATAATCTGCACATTAACAGAGGAGACACACCATATGAAGTACACAGCGACCTCCTTGGGAACAGGCTTCTTGGTAAGTTCTTCTCTCTCAACTCTAATTTTCCTTCCTCGGTTCAGATAATAATTTAACATATAAGATAAACTATACTGGATAAAAAAGGGAGTGTGTAAGAGGGCATGATATGAAGAATATCATTCCCTGTTGCTTCTACCTGTCTTCTACATAGAAAATACATAAGCATTTATTCAGTGCTACTTTAGAATGCTCTTCTCTGTGTTCTACACATACCTAACTTAGCCTTGTTGATCACATTACTGAGAAGAAAAAAAAAGTTTGTGGTTTTTGGATATTCACTGTCTTCTCTGCTTCCTTGTGTTACATATTTTAGCTATTACAAATATCCAATTTATCAGACAGAATAGCAAATAAAATATTTGCCAAAGATTTCAGTTATTAGAGGAAAATTAATTCTTGGTATACTTGTCAACTACAGATTTATGACAAAATAATAATCTACTACACTAAGAGTAATTTTAATCTGTATTATTTCCAAACAACTCTTCAATTTATTGTTTAGTGGGAAAAACAAACTAGAAGGAAAATGCTTTCTCAAAGGGAATATAAATTAAAGAAAATGCATTCAATAGACTGTTAGCACTTACCAGATTCTTTGCCGACACCCATCTGGTTTCCAACAGACTCAACTACCTGTCTGGAAGAAAGTGTTTTCAAAGCTAGGTAGTCATAGCCTGCATTTGTTAACCGATAGCCCTGGACAGCTAGACAAAAGCAAATGAGAAAGACCATATTTTAGTTACATTGTACTACCAAGTCACATCAGTTCAAGTCACGAGAACAATTTAGACAATGGGAGGTTTTCACTGGAAAAAGATTAGCTACCCAGTTTTACAAGTTAGCATTTCTTCCTATAATTTGTGTTTCTTTTCTAGAGCAGTGTTACTCAAAAGCGTGACCCACAGACTTATACCAGTCTATGTTACTAGTCTGTGACAAGACACAGAAACTGACCTGATATGGAAAAAAATTTTTCTATCAGTTTGACCAAGTTATTTTATATCTTCAACTGTAACAAGGAATTTATGCTCACATTTTATCAGTTTGTTTCATATTTCTAGCCTTTTATTGTTATTTTATAGAAGTATGGATCCATGATAGGCTAATAAAAAGAAACTCATCCCTCACTGGAAATGGTTTGAGTAGTAATGTTCTAGAGTCTTGTGGCAGACTGCATTTTCCAAAGATGACAACATCACTACCTCTACTTGCTCCTACTTACTCTCATGTATCAGGAGATGCAGACTATTTTCCGCCCTATTTTTCTGGGTGGGTCCTGTGATTTGCTCTAACTTACAGAACACGGAGGATGTACACTGTGTCAGTTCTAGGGCGAGTGTGTTCTAGGCCCAGCAACTTCCACTTCCTGCCTTTTGGAAAGCCTGCTCTGGGGAAGCCAGTTAAATGAAAAATCCCAAATGGTGCCTGGAATACTCACTTTTGGTACGCTCCCAAGCTATGAGTTTATGTTTCACTAATTCTCTTAAGATTTTATTACAGCCACCATGTTTAAGGCTGGCTATAGAAGCAATCAAACTGCAGGGAACTATTTCATGGTTCTTCATGCCCATTTCAACCTGAAATTAAAGAAATCATTATGCAATCATAATCAACACAGAGCTGCGATCTGTCAAAACTTTGTTAACCGATTCACTTCTCCTTCAAACTTCTCTGACCATGCAGTTCTCCAACCAATTCTGAGACATAAGTTACTACATTCTTGGTTCATATTTTCAGTTTGAGATATAATCAGTGATATTCACATTCTATCTCTCTAGTAAGTGAGATAGATACTTCGAGGGTAAAGACCATGAGTGCTTAATTTACTAATGTGTGGTAAATACTAAAATATTTACTGACATCCTAGTATTTGTCTTTAAAAACTACAGATGTTCTAGATATTTAATACTTCCTTACTAAGAAAACACTAATGAGAAAGCATATGTAGGTATTATAAGAGATAAAAAAAATATAAAAATAACCTCTACCCTGGAGAATATATTATCTTCCTGTGGAAATAAGCATGTACATATCCAGTTCTACTGGAAGGTAAGAAAGAAATGCTAACAAAGAGGTGGCTGAGGGCAGAATAAGAACACTTCTGGCTGAGGGACCAGTTTCAAGGAAGTAGCAGGCCCTGAGACTGACTTTGAGAGATAAAGGATTATAGAAAAAGCAGACAAGGGAATACTAAAGAAAGATAGTAAGAAAAGATTTGGCTATGGCACAGATACAAGAAAGCACAGAACACAGCGACAGCTATTACAGTGGTAGCTCGGATTGGAATGGCATGTCGAGTTCATGGAAAGGCAGGACAATGCTTTTAAGTAAGAATATGGAAAGACTTGAATGCAGACGGAGGAGTTTTAGATTTTATACAGAGGAAAGTAGGAAACTTGAAGACATTCAGGCGAAAGAGATGTATGAACAGTTGTTTTAAGAACATTAATGTAGCAGGAATAAGCAAAGTGGTTTACAGAAAGCAAAACCTGGAGGTGGTGTATTGGAGAACTGAGATAGGCCAGGCCGAGGAAACAGAAGCTGTAACAGAGAAGAAACAGTTGTAACGGAAAGCAGTACTGGATGACAAAGGAAGCGGGAGGTAAAGGAACTGAAAAGTAGTGAAAATGATCAAGTTTTAAAATAACAGTAGTAATAATATTTATTTTAGTGAAGTTTGGGAAAAGAGAGGGTAGACAAAGTTAATGAATATGATTTGTGCACAATGAGTGTGAGGTGTTGGAAGGTCCTTCAAATGAAGACGTTTAAAGAACACTGGAAAGGCATGTCTACACTAGGACTGAAGCCATAATTAGAGGGGAAAATGGTCAATTATTTGATAAAGGTAACAGAGGAAGCTGTAAAGTGGATGTGCTCATCAAGCAAGGGTAATGGAACAAAAAGTAGGGTGGAGGGACCGAACTGGGGGGAAATTCACATTGAAGGGTAAGGGTGGCCAGTAAGAGTATGATTATTGATAGAGGATGTGCCAGAGAAGTAAAGGGAATAGAGGTCAAGGAAAGGCAGCCACTGATACCAATGCTGGTGAGACCCAACCGAGACTGAAATTTTGTATTTAATGAGGCCATTCCTTAATGAGCTTCAAAAAAGACCTTAAATATTGCAGAGAGAAAGTTTTAGAAGATAAACCTGCTATCATTTTGATGCCTCAACAAAAACCTCCCACTTCACACTTCTCTTCCATGCTTTGCTCCGTCTCTCCCAGCCTCTAACATTTCTTCCTCTTGGTTCCCTCGTTTCTGTCAGAGGCATTAAGGCAGTGACTTTTCAATTGCTGTGCTGCAAGAATTTTTAAACCACGCAACCTGACTATTCAGTCCAGGGCACTAACCTTTTTTCCTTTGGATTGTCAAATTAAAAAAATTAGCCAACATGACAATAGCTGCCTGGTGTGAATGAAGCAAAATTAAGCCTATTTTATTTGTTGTCAGATTAACAAAAAATATTTTTGGCCTGCTGCAGAATTTTACTAATTGGTCTATGTGTGCCATGAGATGAAAAAGGTTGGAAATCACTGCATTAAGGAATGACTGAATGTACTGAGGAAGTGGAAAAGGAATGTATCTTTGAAAAGTGCCTGGTAAAGTCCAGCTGAAATTAAGAAGCTATCGGAGGGCAAAGAAGTGTCTTTCAAATTTCATACTAAATTTGCATTGATAGTTTAATCCCTATAATAAAAGAGAAAACAGCTTTTAAAGTAAATTTGTTTCATTCTGCAAATGCCCAATCTATGTGTTCCTTTTTGTGCCATAAATCTAAGACCATAAAATCAGTTTTTATCACTCCTTTCTTGAAAAGATTCAGTGGCTTCCCTATATTTAGAATATACTCCAAATTCTTTAGTAGGCCTGATGAGGTTTTCGCCTTTTCCAGTTACATCCCCAACCATTCAGCCTCCTGCTCATTATGGTCCAGCTGCACTCGCCTTTTCATTCTTCAAAAACTGTTCTTGCCTCAGAGCCTCTTCACTCCTTACTGCAGTTTCCTCTGCCTCCAACTTTTCCCAAGGACTTCACCAAGCCAGCTACTTTTCTTTCAGTTCTTGCTATCTTCCTACTCTTTCTTTTACTTAGCAAGTATTTATGCCGTATCTAACACATGCCAGGAACTTTTTTAAAAAAGCCTTAAAACTTTGGTTACAACGGTTAACAGAAAAGGTTCTCGCACTCAGCAGACTGTCTTCTCCGGTTATGCAACTTAAAGATAGCAGCCACGCTCCTGCCCCGGCTATCCATGATTTCTATTCAGTTATTCTCTTTATCATCTTCATACCAGTCATTGTCTGATGTTATCCTTGTTATTTATCTGTTCACTTGCTAATGATCTGTCCCCCCTGACTTGTTTGTACCCCGCTGAATTCCCTAAAATTGTTAGTTTAATAACCTGGCAAGTCTGTTGCCTGAATGAAAAGGAAGGAAAACCGCGTGAATGAGTCCGTGCGTGGGGAACTCAATGCTATTAATTTTCCTCGGGAACCTTAACACTTTTCAGGTGGTCGGCAATCCAGGGTCAGATTAACTTCCCGGGCCGTAAGGATGCGCACGGCTCTGGCGCATAAGAAGAGCAGGGAGGAAGGAAATAATTACAAGAAGGTCCTTTGCTGTCTGCATTTGGGGGAAGATAAAGCCTCCGGACAAAAACGGAAAAATCTTACTCTCAAGTCTTTTCCCATTCCCAATCTTCACCGCGTTCCAGCGCGCAGAGCGCGCTCAGCTCCCAGAAAACTTCCAGGGACGGACACACGGTGGGAACGGGACAGGAGAAGGGGCAGGGGTAAAAGGCTAACTTCTTACCGCAGTGAGGACCCTGAAGTCATCGCGGCTCAGGTAACGCAGCTTGGCCACATTCACCTTCCCCATGGCGGCACCGGCTGGAGCCCAAAAGCCGGTCCTAAACAACCGGAGAACACTGGGCAGGTTAGAGGTTCCTGCAACCTCTCACGTGTTCCAGTCTAGGGGCGGATCGCGCACGCGCTACTCCTTACTTCAGGTCCTTGCTGATAAATGTAAGTACGATTGAGACTGGCTTGGAAAACTAAAGGGTTTTCTAGGTATTATGAAGCACATAGTATGGAAAAGGTAGAGTACTCCTTAAAGTGATTTTTTTCATGTAAATGAGTTGGCAACCTGTAAGTGTGCACTATAAAAAACCGTCTTATTTTTCATATCTGTAAGGACCGACGGCTTAAAGGCTGCGACCAGGCCGTGAGAGTAGCCTGTTTATTTTAATCGTTTTATCCCCAAACAACAACTCTTAGGGTAGGCAAAGTGAGTTCCAACAAAAGAGGAGAAAGACGAACCAGAGCGCTACTCCAGACAATCAAGATAAAAACGATAATAATCTCACAAGCAACCAGCCCCTCTTCTAAATGCGCCTTCCTCAAGGCGTGGTTAATGAGAACTCTCTTGCACCTGCTCAGTACTTAGATTTTGCATTGGTTAGCTAGGATTCGGAGTGCGCCTGCGCCTGGTGGGAGTTTCGCGTGTGTGTGTGTGTGTGTGGGGGGGGGGGGGGGGGGGCGAATTCGGGTAGTGGGGCTGTGCCCTATCTTTTTCCCGCACATTTGCAGAATTTTCTGCAACAATTTGATGGTGCCAGCCGAGTTACAATGTTTGGATATCCTAGTCCTAGGTGCAGTTTTAAGGGCTTTAGGAGAGCAGTCCACAGTGGCCCTGGAACTCCTACAGGCCTCTGCAAAAATGGTCACAGGAGCAGGCTGTAAACAACTTGAACGCTCTCCGCCCGCCGACAAAAAAGCTGCGTTCTCTACGTATACCCTCCCTACAACAGCAACAAGGATAACTAACTTGTGTGAGAGTTTGTGTTTACAATATCTTGTTTCTGAGTTAGGTTTTAAAACTTTAAAAGGCAGTTATTTTGATACCACTCATTAGCTGTGGCTGCTACATATGGTCACAGAGGGCTGTGCTCTCTCCTTTATCCTTGGTCTTATTTTCAGCAACTGGTGTTTAGCCTCTCTCAGCATCCAGTCTCAAAACTTCCAGGGTAAATATTGGAATTCGGTTTTTAGAGTTCCATTTTTTTTTTCATGTGGGATTTCACTCACCAATGTGCTGGTTTCCCTTCTAAGTCCCTCCCCACTCAGTATTTCAAACCACAGCATATAAGTTAGAGGCAAGCAGTTCAATATGCCTTGCCTTTCCAACCAGAATAGTAGCACTCTGTATCATTGCATAGAGGACACAGAACAACCCTCTGTCCCCTCCACACGACAACCTTGGTTTCTTTTTTACCTGAGTGCAGTAAATCTTTAATTAGCTATGCTCAACTAAGTGGAAACCTCCACTGAAATGGAGTTTTATCTATTTATTTCTGTATGTCACAGAAGAGGACATTAAAATGAAATCCTTTAAAAAGCCATATTACTAACTTCTGGGTCTATGGTGAATGAGAATCACAAATTATTTGTACATCTAATTCCCATGCAACACTTTAGCTGACGTTGCTAATCTGTTATGGCACAAAGTTTTCTTTGCTTCTCACCTCTGCTCCGGACAGCCTCCACTAATTGATTGCGTTTGGCTAGAATTGCTGCCCTGGTTCTGGAGTAGTTTCTGGGGTTAATCACACAGCCCACATTTCTCATATTTTGAGTACTAATGTTTTTTAAATGAAGTCATCTTAATCAGGCTATTACTGAACTCAAGGGGTTCACCACTTTGGGTGTTCTATTCAAGAGTGAGGTGTAGTTGTTGTTAGGTAGTTTCATTTACTCACAGCAGGTAAATGAGCCATGATTCACATTCAAAGCTCTGTTTCTGGGAATGATTTATCATACATATATGCCAGAAGTTTTGCTCAGTGTTGGGCTAAACTCATTTTCAACCTGCAAGCTTTGTGGTGGAAGGAGGTGAACAAAAAGTTGAAGAATAGCCCTGGCCGATGTAGCTTATTTGGTTGGGAATCATCCCACCAACAGAAAGGTGGAGGGTTCAATTCCCACCCAGTCACTGCTTGTGTCTGGGTTGCAGGTTAGGTCCTTACTCAGGGTGCATGCAAGATATAGCCAATTGATGTTTTTCCCTTTCCTTCCCCTTTCTCTGGAACCAATAGAAAAGAAAAAAACTTTCTAAAGGTTAAAGAACAGTATGACATAGGAGGTCTGTCCAAAAAGTATCTAGCCATGTACTAGGAAAAATAGAGACATTTATTGAAGAAGATACAAGATACAAGAAACATTGAACCTGGGACAATGATGTATCAGTCCCCTTCAGAGTCACCTTGGGACCTCATACAGTTCTCCCAATCACCATTGGCTGCCCCATAGTATTTTCTTGAATCTCATTGATGGTCTGAAATCTCTTTCCTTTCAAAGGATTTTAGTTTAGGGAGAAGCCAGAAGTTGCAGGGCACCAAATCTGGGCTGTAGGGATGCTGATTCTCCTGGGTGATTTGATGTTTTACCAAAAAAACTCTGCATAAGACATGAAGCATGAGCAGGTGTGCTGTCATGACATAGCTGCTAATCATCAGTTGTCTATAGCTGCGGCCTTCTAAATCATCTGAATAGTTTCCACAGAGAAATGTTCAAGCTTAATGCAAAATTTGATACAGATTCATTGCTTTACTCGCTCAGTCATTTTTGAATGCAATGGCCATGTGGTATATAAGCTCACTCAGTGGTGTCTGCCCCACCCCCACTGACTAGTTCAGTGAAGTCGTCATTGTTCACACATACACATTCCAGTCCACTCTCCTTGGCTGCCAGGTTACATGGGTGTTGTATAAACCATTCCCATTATATTAACAATGGCTGGACTTTTTTTGGACAGATCTCATAAGTGTGCAAAGGACTTAACACATTATTTCCCTTTCCCAGACTCCCACTCCCATTACTCACACACATACACCTTGTCTTCAGAAAATGCAGAGGACCCTGACTACTGATTAAAGTTTAATTTTTTAGATTAAAATTCACACTTCTTAGGTTAGCATTCAATATCTTTAACAGTCTGTATCATTATTTACTTTCAACTAGCATATACACCTGTTAATTGAACTACTTAGTTTTATACTTGCACAAGTTAACTTGATTTCCTGTCTCGCTGCCTATTTCTTTTATCTGTAATGCTCATCTTCCTTCCTCCTTTTCTTTTGTCTTCTATCTAATCACCATATGTGTAAATTCTACCTCTATTCCTCAAATGCTATGTACCCCATAAAATTTTTCTTTGTTATCCTTATATTAGTTTCTTGGGGCTGCTGTAACAAATTAGCAGTTTGTAACAAATTACAAACTTAGTAGCTTAAACAATAGAAAGTTATTCTTTTACAGTTCTGGACCACACTTTCTTCAGATGCTCTGAGGGAGAATCAGTTCTTGCTTGTCCTAGCTTCTGCCAGCATTTGGTCATTGCTGCCATTTCTTGGCTTGTGGTTGCATCACTTCAGTCTCTGCCTTTACAATCACACGGCCTCTTCCATTTCTGTGTGTTTTTCCATCTGTTTCTATCTTATGAAAATGCACATAATTGCACTTTGGGCCCACCCAGATCCTTAATCACAGCTACAATTTTTTTTCCATGGAGAGTAAATTCATAGCTTTTGGGGCTTAGAACCTATTGCTGTCTTTTGGTGAGTAGAGACATTATTCACCTAATAATCCCCCAAAGTAAGCTTGCCTTCTAATTTTCAGCCACTTTTTAAACTCCCCTATTGGCCCATAAATTAGATAAATTATAGAAAAATTTGAACAAGGAGATTGAATAAAAATATTTAGAGTCAAGGAAAATAAAACTGATATATTTGTATTTAAGGTATACTAGCTAAAACTCAGAAAAATTGTGATAGTCTTTACTGCATGTGGACTACAGCACCATTTGTTAGAGTATTGGAGGTATCATTGGTGGGAAAAGACACAGTATGGAATATATGTTGGGTTGGCCAAAAAATTGTTTAGTTTCTTTCATAAAATAAAAGGCATATTTTCAAAATATTCATCTGTAGCTTTTTTGATTTGGATATTTTGAGTATGTCAGCTATCTCCTGCATTATATGACACTGATCTCAATGAATGTCTAATTTTGATTGCTATCAACTTCAACTGGTCTACCCAACCATGGAGCATCATCCAGTGAGAAATCTCCAGCATGAAACTTTGCAATCTGCTTTGGACATGTATGATCAGTCATAGCACCTTCTCTATACACTGCATAAATAATTTTATATGTACTTCAGTTGTGCTTTTAGCTTTCTTTTTTAAAAAAAGATTTTATTTGTTTGTTTTTAGAGAGGAAAAAAGAAGGGGAAAGAGGGAGAAAAACATCAATGTGTGGTTATCTCTTGTGCGCCCTCTACTGGGGACCTGGCCTGCAACCCAGGCATGTGCCCTGACTTGGAATCCAACCAGTGACCCTTTGGTTCACAGGCCAGCACTCAATCCACTGAGCCACACCAGCCAGAGTTACCTTTCTTGAAATCATAAAGCATAGTATGCCAAAAATGTTGCTTATATTCTTCCGTCTTTAATATTAAAATGGCTACACAAAAATTTACCAATTTTGATAAGTTAAAAAAAATTCACCCTGAGGTGATAGTTGTCACAACACAATCTAACAAAATTATTCCAAATGAAGTTAAAGACAACTAAGCACTACTGGAGCCACCTGATAGAAAAAAAAATGAATTTTTTGGCTAGCCAAATAGATGTGTGGAATTTATGCCAAGTTCCCATGAGAGACACAGTGTGACTCATGGGGTTCTAGAGCACAACAGACCATGCAGCAGAGATATATATACCTTTAAAAAATAGCTCTGGCATGCTGCAGTGCCCTGAGAGAGATGGAGTGCCTGACGTTGAGGCACCAAGTGACATTGTAGCCACAACTGTCCTTTATGAACTGTGTTCTGGTGGATCAACCATGTTATAAGGTTGAGCAAACACAGGAACAATCCATCAAGGTGGTACATTCAGGATTGAACACAAGCAGAACCAACAAGCTGCATGAGCAGGTAGCTTGGACTCCCACGTCACCTGCTATTGTTCAAACACCACTTTTCAGCTGATGCTTCTTTGTTTGTTGTGTTATGATCAGCTAGTGAAGGAAAAAAGCCCACCCTTGGCTCATCGATGAGTCATTTTGATATTTT